TTCCTCTACTCAAACTTGAAAAAAAAGAGTTTTGAACCCTAGAAGCCACAAATTAAAGAACAAAAACTTAAAATTATTATATCAAGCTTTAAAAACAATTAAGCATAATTTGGTCGCTAGTATGAGAGTATTTTCTATCAGAAATTTTGTGAGTAAACAAGGACACGTCTAAGTAGCAATTCGATAGATGTTCTCAGTTTTTTGAAATCATATTTTTATAAACAAATAGAAACAATTTGAATGTTTAAAATCAATTAATTAAATTTGCTTGGAAACCAGGAATACCAAGTTTAGCTTAATTGTTTTCAAAACTAAAATTGATATTAACAAGTATGTATCAACATGTATCTAATATTAATTTAAGGAATATTTTTTATTTAAAAATTTAATGTTTTTATTTATTCGAAACTTTTCTTTCACTATCATAACAATATTTTCATTCTTATATGTGAAAATGATGCATGATAACAATAATTATTTTCAAAGTTATTTAAATAAATCAGATAAACTATATTTTTTAGTTCTGCTAATTAAAATTAATTAATTTTGTTTACTATCTGTAAAATTGAACAATAAATAAATACAGTCAAACACTGCTCTAATCACACTAAATTTGCGGATAAATTACAGAATATTCGAGAAAAAAAATGATTTTCTATATAATTTGAAAACCGGCTAAAATCGGTTTTTGAGTAAAATTAAAATTCAAAAACCGGTTTTTCTGAAAGGACGGTTTTTGTATAAACTCTACTGCCAATTATTGCCTTCTCGATGAAGAACCGTGTAGTAACAATTTCCCATATTCCTTTACTATTTCCAGTCCTCCTCAAAGGCAGAGTAGCCTGCGAAATGGGCAACAACGAACTCATAATAACCGAGATCATCTTCCGAAACATCCTAAAAGACCTACCACCTGCCGAAATCGCGGCTCTGCTCAGCTGCCTAGTTTTCCAGGCCAATGCGAAAAGATCGAAATCCCCAAATTTTCCAAAAATGCATCGGCGAGATAAATGACATTGAAACCGAAATTATGCAAATCGAAGACAATTCGATGTGGCCCAGGATAACACACGACAGTCACAAGCTAAACTTCGGTCTCATCAATGTGGTTTACGAATGGGCGCAGAAGAAGCCCTTTTCGGATATAATGAGACTGACTGACGTCCAGGAAGGGATTATTGTAAGGTGTATACAACAGTTGAATGAGACTATTAGGGATGCTAAAAGTGCTGCTAGGATTATAGGGGATCCTGTTTAGGGCAGAAGATGGACGAGGCTTCTGAGGCCATCCAGAGGACATCGTCTTTGCGGCGAGTTTGTACACCCAGGATGATTATTCTGGTGTTAAGATTCTGGACGAAGATGATTCGGCGTATGATGTTGAAAAAATTTAAAATAATAAAGAAGTGAATAATATTTTGCGGGAAGGATTTGTTGAGATAGGATAGTGAGTTTGTGATGAGTATTTTGGAAATGAATGAAGAAGAAGACTTATTTGTTCAACAATGAATTGCATATACAATTGTATTTTTGGATATAGTCCTAAGTATTCGATTTTGTTTTTAATTATCTAACATGTTAGGTTAATATATATTGTTATTAGAAATTAAGGCTGTGATTTATAAAGTTTTATAAATATATTTTACAGTTTCAAAATTATATATAGATGTTTTTATTAATAACCTTATATATGCGTTGCCGTGGCTCAGTACTTATGATATTTACATTGAATCAATTTTTTTATTAATAATTGGGGGACTTTAAGGATTATGAGGATTATGAGTATGTTTTTTTAAACATTATATATATATATATAATATAATATATCTACTAGCCGACCCGGCCACGCGTTGCTATGGCTCATTATTTGTGATATTTACATGGAGTCAATTTTTTACTAATCTTTCTCTTTGCGTTAATCACACGATCGATTTTTAAGTATATATAAGTATGATTTTTTGAACATATATATATATATACATATTATATATACTAGCTGACCCGGACACGCCTTGATGTAGCTCAGTATTTATATTTGCATTGATTCAATTTTTTTTACTAATTCTTTAAGGAACGTTCATTAATCATGCGATCGATTTTTAGGGATCGACCCGGCCCCACTTTGTTGGGCTTATTATTTGTGATAATTACATTGAATCAATTTTTACTAATCATTTGGGGGACGTATATTAATCACGTGATCGGTTTTTAAGGAATTTTTGGAGCCTTCTGATAATACGTGGTGTTATTCAAAATTAACACAGCCTACCCTATAATTAGAAAAATAAGACTGATTTTAAAGTTTTAATAAATATATTTTACAGTTTTCAAATTCATGAGTATATATTTTTGAATATTTATTATATATACCTAGTTGACCCCGGCCACGTTTTGCTGTGGCTCAGTACTTAATTTACATTGAATCAATTTTTTTACTGATTCTTTGGGGAGCGTCCATTAATCACGTGATCGATTTTTAAGGAATTTTGAACTTTGAATTTTGAATACGTGGTATTAGTTAAAATTAACCCAAAACTCTCCCACAGAACATCACGTGTATTTTCAGTCCCTAAAAAAATCATATTTTTTTTTGATTTTTTGAAAAATTTTGGATTTTTTTTTTAAAAAATTCGTTTGTTTTAAATCTCGGGGGAAAATAAATATACGAGATATCTTATCTATCTATATATATATTTTTATATTTACTTGTAATTTATCCGGATTCGAAGCCCCTCTGACCGCTGGTAAAATCAGCAGCAACTTGCCAAGTCTGCTGGAACTTCCACATCGTTCCTGAAGCAATGTCAGACTTTGCTCCTGCAGCAATGCCACTTGCTCGGGAGCAGACACACCGCGGACATCTAATGATAAAAAAACATTTCTTTGGTAGAATTTAAAAAATGTTTGATATGTCTTATGGCAGATTTTACTACAACTGCCAATGACAACAATTTATTGTCATTCTATATCAAGGTTAGCAAAAAGGCGTCTTTCAATTACAAACATACTTTGCATGTATTATTTTATTTTTATTCATTTACCTGGTCGAAAGAGGACAAGAGCTTTTAGACAAGCTCCTTCCGATTGTCGACACGCATAGAGATGTATTTTGTTATAAGTCCCTTAGTCTTCTTGTATCAGATCGAAGGCTTATGCAACTCCTTGGCAACAAATCTGAAATAGGAATAAAATATTAACTATATAATATATAAACACCACACGTTTTGGTTAAAATCCTGAACTTCAACTATTAGCACTAGTTTTATTGAAAATTATGAAAGTTTGAATACATAATTCAGAATGAGATTTTATTCCTAGTAGAAATGAATCATGAATATATGAATTTGGGTTATTACCAATATAGTGCTTATATTGCCATAAGTTCGTTTTTAGATTCATTTCTACTGATTCCTACTAATCGGTCGAAATTCGTGTTTAAAATATTGAAAAATGTCGAAAATATTGGATATCTATCGAACTTACCTTCTTCAATAGGCAAATTCCATTGAGCAGCCGTCAGAACAAACAGTTCTGCCCAGGATTCCTCTAAAAGCAACGACTGGTCCCTCAGAGATAACTAAAACATTATATTCATACATATATATATATATATATATATATATATATATACTAGCTGACCGGCATACGTTGTTTTGTTAAGTGAGGTATATTCTAAACAATTTCTAGAGAATCAAAAATGTTAATACTTTAAGTGTATAAGGATGTGTCGCTCGAATGCTATTATACAATGAGGTATTATAAATACCAATGAGTGTATAATTATACAAATGAGATCTTTCAGAGCACCGTGTTTGAGAAAAATATGCCAAAGAGTGCATTTTCATATTAACATTTCAAAAAAGTTGATATTTTGAGTTTCTAATAACACTTGCTGCCCGTTTAATAACGTTTTTGTGTATGAATAAAACTACAAACAAAACTACTTACTACAATTTAATCATAATTGAATAATATTCACGTAAAACATCCTATTAAACGTAATTGAACATCATCTGTCATAAACGTTTGACATTTGACGTATTAGCCACCGTCCATTGTTTTATTTAAATTACGCTTCTACAAAAAATTTCAAATTAAAAATGTAAAGTTTCTACGCGATTTTGAAATAATATCTCACCTTTCCAACCATCTCTGGATTGGCACGAATTTTTCAAGACTAAGACTGGCCAAATCGGTTTAGCCGTTTTTGATTTTTCCCGAATCATTTGATCGAGATCTCAATATATAAATATATATATATATATTATATATATATATAAATTTATTTATTTATTTATTACCTGTGCGAATGAAGGTATCGACCTAGCCCATTTAACAGCCAAAAATAATAATTTAGCAGCAGATTCGTAAACGTTTTCTCCACCTGATGGTGTTGGTACAAACGATGTTGCAACCTGATTAGGGTTGGAGGATGTTGAACCGGTTAAGGGTAGTCCTTCGGTGGAAGTCACTTCGTCGTCTTTTGCCGAAACTGGGGATGTTGTGGATGAAGCTGGAAAAACAAAAATTTAGGAACCAATTCTCGGATAAAATAGAAATGGCAATGATATTTTTATGTTATGGGTCTATCTTCGTATGAGTTGGCTGTAACGAACTGTCAAACAGCTGTGAATTAGGTGTTTCACACATGAAACCTAACTTCACTTATGTGTTGTCAGAGAGTTGCATTTATAATAAAATTATTGAAGTAAAACTTCTTTAGGCGCGATATGGGTGTAAAAATTTTTTTAGGCTACACGGGTGTAAATCCGTACAAATGCAACGAAAACGCCAACGTGAAGTTGAACACTACGACGCCGTAAGCGCTGATGTCGCGAGTATCCACTCCCGTCATGTCATGCGTAAGTCGAGCGCTAAACCCTATATGAACTTGCATTAATTGAATCACGTTTTTTATGTTATGTCCTCATGGAATAAGACTTTTCTTAGAGAATAAATGTGTCATGGAATATAATAAATTTATACTGAATCTCGTTGAAGACAAAATAATATCTACTGCCACGGATATTTATGTAGGTTGCCATGCGACAGATCAACAATCATACATTCGTCAGCAGTTTCACAAAAATCGGTTATGAAATAATTTTAGTTCTGAATAATTTTAGTTCTGAATAAATTTTACATAATAACAACTAATATTGATGTAAGTGATGGCTTAGCTAATGGTTGTGTAGGAAAATTAGTGTACATAGAACGTGGCGATAATGATGAACTTCTAGGTTTATGGTTTGAATTTCCTGGTAAGATAGGTAACAAAATTAGGAAGAAAGCTGCACATCATATTCAAACTCTTAATATCAGTAGGACAGCTGTGCCGATTCTCAGGAGATCTTTATCTATTCCAATGAATAGAAATAAAACCATATTTGCCAAAAGAAATCATTTTCCTTTAGTGTCTGCTTGTGCACTCACAATACACAAATCACAAGGTGGTACTTTTGATGAAATTGTATATGAATTCAATAAAACACATAATCAGCAGCTTCTATATGTTGCATTATCACGAGTTACCAGCATTAATGGATTGTTCATCCTTTCTAAAACAACGACAAAAAAATTTATAATGGAAGAAAACGGCCAGCAGGATTAATGAACTTAAAAACTGAATTCCAAAGACTTTCAACTTGTAGATTAATAACACAAGAAGAAAAATTGAGTGAGATAATAAGTTTGAACGACATTTCATTGTTTTCCTTTAACTGCCAAAGTTTACGAGCTCATTTGCCTGATCTGCAAGATAAAGTGCTACAACGTTGTACGTTTTTGTTATTTTCGGAAACTTGGATTAATAATGAAGAACGAATTGATATTCAGAACTATTACTGCGTTACTCAATACAACGATCAAACTCAAGAGCAGGTGGTGTAGCTGTCTAATGTCTATCATTCATGTTCAGATACTCTTCATAATGCGACTCTTATGCAGTTTCTTGCGCCAACGATATTACTGGATATTCCTAATGAAATTACACAAGTAGGTGATATTACACACACAGAATCAAACATTAATTATAGTCGTCCTTTAAATTTCTCCCAATAAAAACATATCAAATATTATTGAATTTCTTCATCAGCAGTTACTTCATTTTTCTAATGAGGGTGCAAAACTTTTAAACACTAATCACAACGAGATACCATTAATTCTTGCTGGAGATTTCAATGTCAATTTTCGTTCAGAAGAATCTCAACCATTAATCGATTTTTTAAATAATAAATTTAATTTAACAATGAATAATTCTCCATTTGAATCAACCACAAGATATGGCACGACTATTGATGCAGTTTTCTCCAGAAATGTACATAGTTTACAAAGCAAAATTTATGTCTCTCATTTCACCTATTATATCATATATGAAATATGATAGCAATTAATCTATCGTTGTTGTTTTAAACTGTGTTATTGATGTTATGTGATTATTAATAAATGATTTTTTAAAATTCAAATATGATGTTTTTTTATTTTTATCTTAATTGCCTACTCATACAATATTAAAAGTTTTACTTCAATCGCGTGTGATCCTTACGCGCACTCTTTTTTTGATTTTTGCGCTTTTTTAGAGGTTAGCTTTTGACAGTTGGTTACTATTATAAACCCGTAAATATCATATTATTTTTATTTTATCAGAGAACTGGTCCTTTACATAATATTACAATTAATGATAAATAAAGAATATTTTTCAAAATTATTTATCAAAGTCATTAACCAAAGTCATTTACCAAAGTTTTTTACCAAAGTTTTTTACCAAAGTCATTTACCAAAGTTATTTACTAAAGTTATTTACCAAGATTGCTTACCAAAGTTAATTAAATTTTGTTTTTAAAGCTATCAAAAAAATAAAGGCTATTTTTACACACTAGAGAATTGAAGTTGAATGAAACAAGATTCAGCAAGTTGGCGTTGTTTTCTTTATATAGAAAATTATGACGACTTGTGTTTAAGTTATGAATCGTTATATACATAATTATTTATATATACATATATATATATATATATATATTTATATATATATATATATATATATATATTCTTTTTTTTCTCACCTCCAAAATTTATCTGGTCACTTTTCTTCTCTGAATTTAGTATAGAATTTGTGTTTGTTGGTTGTATTGGTATAGGATGTATTATATCCTTGTACGTTGTGTCCTGTTTATAAATTCCTGACAAATTATTAAAACCCGACAAAAATGGATTTAAACCTGCCAGGCTTGGACTGTCGAACAAACCTGAAAATAAAACAACATTTAAATTAAACAATTCACGTGAAATATCTCATCAATTGAAATATTGATCAAAATTTCTCTATGTTTTTTACGTAAGACAAAATAGCTTTCTGTTGATTATCTTAAGAAATAAATGATGTATAAGTACCAATTACTAAAGTTTACATAAAATATAATTTTTCGAATTATAGAAGTATTTTCGGAGATAAATCAAGTAGGCAAAATTATCTAAACGTATCCAGCGTCTTGTTTTGTTTCTTTATTTTATTCTTACTACGTAAGTTAAGAGAAGTTTACAAAACGCGTTTATTATTTTTTTATTGGGTTTTATTTAGATTTTTTATATGCATAATTACTTATTTGGTAAATAAATATATCAAAAATATATATAACACAGTTTACCTCCAAAATATCTTGATCCATCTATAACTGGAGCAAAGTTTGGATGATGTGGTATATAGTGACCGCTTGTATTAAACGGCAACGGCAAATAAAAACCTGAAACAATAACATAAAATAATTATATTCTTTATATTTTTTACTATACTTTTTCTTCTTTATTTTTTTTACCCGGATGATGTTGCACGCCAACCAAAGGCGCCAACATGCGCCTCGACGTCGTTTCTTGTGTCGCAGCCAACGTGTTTGTACCATGTAAATGGTACGTTTGATTTGGTGGTATATTACCCAAATTTTGTGTAGAATTGTGCTGCTGGTTTGGTAGACAGGAGCGAGGAGCCCTTTCGTGCTGGACAGCTAGAAATAATAAATATCAATGATAATAGGTCGGATACATATGTTTGTTGAGAAAGGGAAAACAATTTTAGGAAAAAGGGACGTTTGCACTATCTGCAGTAATATTAACGATGTTAAATATTATGCGAATTAAGGGGACGATTTTGTTGTAAAATAGTAAAAACTAAAAATGCTATGTGGTTGCTGTGCGATAATCCAATTTCGAATAGAATCCTGGTACAAGCACAACTACTATTCTTATACCAACAATATTTTACAGAATTGCCAGACAAATGCTAACTATTTTGACGTTCTTCTTAAATTTGCCATTTATTCATTACCATTAGGGAATGCAATACCGATATACCGAATTACCGGTAAACCGCCCGATTTTTCGGCGGTATTTTTACCGGTATTTACCCCAAAAATACCGGTATTTTCGGTATTTTTACATAAGACCTATTTGATGCATAATACACTAAAGTTTAAATTTCTCGGAACAAATTTATCTTTAAATTCCATAATCGCATAAATAGCTGTATCTTTAAGTGATTCTATAAGATAAACAAATGTCAAATATTATCTCAACTCGTCATTATACTGAATATTTATTGCTTTACAAAGGGCTTCATATCGTGTTACAATAAATAGATTTGGACTGATAGATAATGATGTTTGTTTCATCTTATGTAAAATTGTAACGGTTTTTTAAGTGATATTTGCACCAAAATATTTTATTATATCATACAGATTACCTGTGCGTAATCTTTATTTTTTTCTAACTTTATACATAACTAGCAAACCCGACGAACTCCGTTTCGCCACCAGATGGTTTCGTGAGAAAGATGAAGAAATTTTTTGTTTGTTTTAAATTTGAAAAGGAAAAATTTAATTTTATTGTACAACAGTAATGAATTTATTTCGATTACAAAAATGAAGTATTTTTTAGTTGAACTTCTCTAAGTAAATGAAAGTGAATCCATAATTAATTCGCAAATTTTCAACTAATTTTCTTAGCTATAAACGAAACGAAATCGTTTTGTGCGTTCTGGAGTTATATCGTCAGGAAGGAAAACCCGACTTATTTTTATATATATAGAAGATAATTTATTTGAAATTATTTAAAACAGTTACTGATTATTTTTATTACTCGAATTTTTAATTACGGTGCGGGAGTTCCAGCAGCTTGCATTAAGGCACGATGCCATGCACAACTAATATTCTCAGCTATAAACCTTGCGGAGCCCGAGACCTTTCCAACGAATGCAAAATTGTCGAAATCGGTTCGTGCGTTCTGGAGTTACTTCGTCAGGAAGGAAAAACCGACTTATTTTTATATATATAGAAGATAATTATGATAATTACTAAATATTTTAGCTTCTTATTACAATTATAAAATATTATTCTTCGAAAACGTTTTGAAGTTTGAAATTACTATAGAAGCATCACACTGTTTTAAATAACAATACTCAACAATTATAGTAACTTATTATTTATCTCGACATAGTATCCGGTCTTAAATTAGTGTAGAAACATTATTTTTTTTTTAAATATTAGAGATTATGCTAATTTAACACATCGGATACAGACAATACAGTTTATTATAATAATGCAATATGATCATTTATGAGTTTTTGGTCTTTCTTACTCATAAGTTTGTTTTTGGTGAAAAGTACTCAATATACTCGATAGTGATAATGAATTAATTAAATTGGATAGAATATTGTTAAATTATTAATTAAAAAAATAAACTTATTAGTTTAATTTATGGTTTTTATTGTTTAGTTGAATATAGTTGTAGTTTTATATATATATTTTTTTATTTGTACTAGTAACTTTCAATTTTGTTTACGTTTGTTTAAGATAATGAAAATACCGGTTATTTACCGCGGTATTCCGGTTTTAAAATGAAAAATTACCGAAATACCGGTAATGAAATTTTTCATCAGTATTGCATTCCCTAATTACCATCTTCTGTTTTTACTTGGTTAATGAATTTCATACAATTTTCTACAATTTCTTCCCCTGGTGTTTGTGAACCGCCAAACCTGAACAAACACTTTGGAACCTCCAAACGCCTCTTATTATTTGACAATACGAATGTCTGTGTGTTCGAGGGTTTTTTCCCGAAAGGGGATGGTTTTGTGTACTTTGCGACCATTTTGTGTTTATGAAATTGACAGGAAAAGTGTCGGAGGAATAGTGATCGTGTCATCAATTAGTTAGGATAATCGAAACTAAATGATGACACACATTGTTTGTCGAAACGTACATAGTAAATACACTGGTACATCGACATACGAGAGTAATTCGTACCGTAATTACGCTCGTATGTCGAACCAATTTTTCCTATATAAATACATTGAAATGCGTTATTTTTTAATGTTCTCTCTACTCTCCGGAATATTTTTGTCGATATTTTGCATTAGGATGCATAGGTCTATTTTATAATGCTCTTTTATATAAATTATTTTTTTGATCGGAATAATTCAGGTTGCTCTTTGTTTCTTTCGATAACTGTTATCCATTATTTTATAAGTCCAATTTTTATGATAAAATAACGATAGTTCATCATTCCTTAGAGTTTATGTCTCTGATTTAGGGGCAATATATACAAATATATATATATATATATATATATATATATATATATGTATGTACATATGTTCTGTATGTGTCATAAGGGGTGACGACCCTTGTTACCGCAGTCATGATGTCATGTCAATTACAAACCAGAGTATCACTTGTGTGCAATTAGTAATTTTTATTTCTACTGCACTGTATGTATATATATATATATATATATATATATATATATATATTAGGACTAGTAGGAGCAATGTTTACATCCGCCCTTATGTAATTCTAGACGTTCAACGTAATAATAATGTGAACTTCGCCACCTGCTATTTGAAAAGAAACGGACACGCGACCTTTTATCAAAAGCCACACATCTTTTCATCATAAATATACAAATATAAATATATATACAAAATATTTTGTTTTCTTGGATCCCCAATCAAAACTAAGTCTCCTATTTATGTAATGGAATGAACTATAAACTAATAAGAATAATTTATATCTAAATTTTGAATTGCACTGAAAAGCTTGAAACGTATGCTGAATTAATACAATTTATTTTAATATAATTATTTTTTGTTCTATTAAAATTTGCGTGACTTATATTATAATCATCCAGAGTGAGCACAGTTTATGTTTTTGCCAAAACTTGCTAATTTTATGTCTTGTTTTCCCATTTGAGGCAAATATTGAAAAAATTAGTGTGTATGTATTTTTATGCTCTATTTTGATGATATTGTATCTCAACTACGGCGGTTTAGAAGACAACTCGATGGCCGTCTTTTGGCATGTTTTATTAGGGTTTTTCCTATAACGACGATTTTTAAATTTGATGTTGAAAAGACTCCTAAAAGCTCTTTGCTCTTGCATACATATTTTGATAATAATCCGAAAAAAATTCTTCAGATGTCCATACAATAATCAAAATAAACAATGTTAGGTTTAAAAAAATTGTGAATTAACTTGTAAACGTTTTGAGTATTCGTTTCATTCTTCGGTATGTCGAAATTTATTCTTATTATTTCTATTTCATCTAATATTGCATTGATTATTGTGACCAAGGTTTGGTTTCAACTTCTTTTTTAGCGAAATATGCTTCTGTGAGTTGATTCATTCCATTAACTGAATACACGTTAAAATCTGAATAATAAATCTGAAGTATCACTTAGAGAGCGCCCTTCTAGCCTCCTTGATAATTTCGTGGTGAGCATTTGGAGTTTAATGTGTTTGCAAAGAAAACAACACAAGTACTTCGTTAAAGTGATACGATATTCGAGATGTGATTAAAACGAACTATATATATTAGGGTGGTCCTTAATATGGACATTTTCGAATTTCCTTGCTCTTAAGGGATCAAACGCTTCAAAATTGATAAATAATAGCTCTTAATATTAACTTTTAGATAGTGCGCAATTCAATCAAAGCTTCGTTTGGAAATATAATGGAACTAGCTGTAAGTGGAATTCTGTCTTAAGGCAATTAGGGCATCGTGTCTTAAGGCAAATTGCTGGAACTTCCCGTACCAAAAATTATTATTTTTTTAGAAACGATTAACATTTTTGAAAAAATAAGATTTTTGACAAACAATTAAACAAAAAATTACTTTTAAAAATTTTTTTTTTTTTTTAATTTTTTTTTTTTGAAAAAAAAATGTTTTCTTTATTTTGACATATTTTGAAAGATCTAAACTTTTTTTTAAAGCAATCGTACTGCTTTAACTGCATAAAGACGAAATATCAAACCGCGTAAGCGCCGCGTCGACGTCAAACGCGTAAACATTGGTACGGAACCCATAGGAATGTAAACCAAAATTATACTTATTGTTAAAATCTCTATAAAATATCTGATAATTTGATGTGCATATGTCTAATGATCATTTTTGACCGCCAAATGGCATTTTTTTTTACTTTTTTTATTAAATCTCCGAAACCGTTAGACCTGCCTTTATGAAAATTTGATCGGTTCTTCACCTTGTCAATACAAGTAAAATTAAGAATTATTAAAATCGGACGCTCCGTTCTCTTAAAAACTGAGTTACCGTTTTCGGCACTTTTTGCCTCGTATCTTCGGAACGGCTAGACCTGCCTTCGCCAAAAACTAATCAGCACGTCTCCTTATCAATACGAATCGAATGTTTTTTGAATTATTCAAATTGGTTGATCGATGTTCCCGAAATCGTCGACGAAAATTTGTATCCGCACATACATACACGCACACACACACACACACACACATACATCCATTTTTTCTAAGGTATGCCAAAATATTCAGAAACCTTTGAAACGTCGAGAAATGCAAAAATTTTCATTTTCGATTTTTTTGCGATTACTATAACTTGCCCTACGGGAAGTTATAAAATTTCTAAAATTTTATAAAATATTTGTTAGGTATAATTTAGCGACAAATGAATTAAAAGTGAAAATTTGTGTCATTCTTTATTGAAAATTTGACACTCTGCAAAACAGGTTTCTTATTTGATCTGTAGAGCGTCGAATTTTGAATAAAACTCATTCATTGGTACGCTAAGTTACCTAAATACCTAAAAAACATTTTTAATTTTTTTTTAAAAGTTTTCCATTCTATTTCCATTCAAAACTTTGATTGAATTGCGCACTATCCAAATGACAATATTAAGAGCTATAACTTTCACAGAATTTTTTTTAATAATTTGGAAGCATTTGAGCCCTTGGGAGCAAAGAAATTCGAAAATGTCCATATTAAGGACCACTCTAATATATATATATACATATATATATATATATATATATATATATATGTATATATTATAATTATGTACGTTTTGACAGTACATATACGATCGTATGTCATCATTTGGCAGATCACACAAAAAAAAGTGTGAAATATTTTTACATCGGTTCACTTAAATATGAAGCATAAAATAATTAAATAATTATTTAGTCAAATAAAAATAATTTTTCCAAAATTATATACTTTTATTTTAGCTACTTCTTTTATTATACTACTTTCTTATCGTAAAATAGTATAACCTGCTTCGTCTTCACTACTGTTTTGTAAAAAGTGCCTTTGAAAAAAAGTTTAATTTTACTTCTTGGGTATCAAAATTATTTTTCAATGGCTTATAGTTTACTTCTTTCACAAAATCTCAATTTGCCTACATTCTTGGAACCGATTTAGAACAGGGTACCCATTATTATTACTATTATAATTATTTTTATTATTATTAGATTCAATCACAAAATGAATAGCAAATAAATATGATAAGAGGGACTTGGTTCGTGGGTAATGTTTTTGACAGAGTACTCATTGTCGAAATGTATCAAGTGCGAAAGTGCACACTTTTGCACTTTGGGGGCGAACTTCGACTTAAAACAGCACTTGATACAGGACGATTGTATCTGACACTGTATAAATAATATAAGGACACACACACACACACACATATATAATCTATATATAATCTCGGTTCGGTTCAAGTAAACAGAAAAGTTTTTTCTAAAAAATTGAAATATACATCAATGCACCAAAATAGCGAAAGATATAAAAAAGTCAAAATCAAATCAGAAAAACTGAATGAAAGGACTGGAAAGGAATTCGCTTGATTGCCGATTTACTCAAGAGAAGTAAATGCAGGGAATTGATATCCGAAGTTTCGAAATTTGCATTATAATAATAGTAAATAAGGGCGGAAAAGGGCTAAGGGTTGACTAGTGCTTTTACACTATGGATTGTCTTTAGACACACAACCATTTATCATTATTATTTTTATATAACATCAATTGTATTAACTCATTCGACTCGGATGACGCCGATCTCGGAATTAGCGAGTGGAATGGATTTGTGGGAGATGGGCAGGTCGCGTCAAATTTAGTAAGCGACGGAAAAAAAAATAAATTGAGAGTTGGGTTTTGTTTGATGGGATGTTTTTGCAATGGGAAATATTGTTCAAATAAATTTATAAAATTTATCACTGAAGTAAAGGTTAAATATATTATTAATCGGCAATTTTATTTAATTCCCGAAAGATTAATCTTTTATCGACTCACCGTCTTTCCGCATGTTCGCCTGCAGACATTTCGAAAATCTGCAAGCCTGACACTGATTTCTCCTCGAAACGTCGACTATGCAATGACCACCTTCCTTACAGGAATACTGCAGGTTGCGACGCATCAACCTGAAAAAAATACGCCTTTATTACATATAAATGCTTATATATATATATATATATATACGTGTAAATATTTTTTTACCTCCTGATGCTCCGTTTGAAGAATCCTCGACATCCGTCGCAAGACGGAACTCCGTAATGTTTTCCGGAGGCCTTGTCGCCGCAAACCCGACACAGGCCGTTGCTTCCGCCGGAAACCGCGCCTACGGATCCGGAGTCCGACATTTTCTAAAATAATTGATAATTTATAGAATTTGCTTATAAGATGAACTGTGATAATTGCAATTATTGTTATATTGAAGGAACAAAGAACATACGATTAAGAATATATCTATGCATATAAATAAAATTGCGAGAGTTTGTTTTTAATATTGAAATTGCTCTTTAATACATTCATATGAATATAAATAGGGTGCATAACCAAAGTAATATTTTTATTCATCTGTCAATTTCGATTTTGACTGGTAGCTGATATAATTGGGCGTAAATTGGGCTACTTTTATTTTAAGAAAAAGTATCTTATCCCATCTCATCTCTTCACAAAAATTCAACAAAAAAGTTATTAGTTTGTGGACAAAATTGTTTGACACATTTTTGTGTAATGTTATATATTGTAATTCAAATGTCTCGTAATTTCTATTAGTGATATTGGCAATAGTGTTCTCCTACTATAACTATGTATCCGCCATCTTATATTAATGTTTATGTTTAAACTATGTAAAATAATTCTCTTGCTGCTGAAATGCGATACAAGTAACATTTAAAATAAACTGAGTAATTTTAAGGAAGCATTTTTATTTTACCACATGTATAGGAGTTAAAACTTGTATAAAGAAAATTATGATGGTGGTCTTAGAAAATTCGTTAAGATTTTTTTAACTTTTTAAATTCTTTCTTTTTGTAATACTTAATTTATATAAAGGATACAGCGGAGTTTAAATTTCTGCGGGTAAAAAGGTCAAAACATCTAAAACAAATAAAGTTACGAATGTTTAAACAACAATATTTGAAAGTAGTGACAAAAAATGTATTAGCAAGCATCACCTTGATTTTGACGACATTTCTATCGAGAAATAAACAGCAATATTTGGAAATCCACAACAAAAGTATTTTTTTTTTGTTGTTAGTTTTTCTGGTTTTGAACACTATTGTTTAGTTTACGAAACCTTAATTTTTTATATACGTTATTAATAAATTAATTATTTCATAAGATGTATTGTTAAATTTAACTTAGATTCAGGAGTTTTTTATTTTATTATTTGTGTGGCGTAAAAAGGACATACTAAATCTTTCACCTTGGCAAAGGTGTAAACAATAAAAAATACCAAATAAAAAGTAAATTAAGTTAAAAAAAATGCACAAGAGATAAATTGAATAAATAGTTATTCCGATTCTGATGATGAATATTTCTGACGAAATACCAGATCGAGGTTATATACAGTGTTATGCTTGTAAAATTGCAACTACAAAGTGTATGTTTTACATATTGGTTAAAGAAGCTATTATTTAATAAAATTCTTTTAAAATTACAAATAAGGCATTAAATCTGTTTACCTTTTGGCTATACCATTTTACACCGCCCATGAGGCAAAAGGGATCAGGTCAAAAAAAAGGGACCGCCTATTTGGTAAAAAGGACAACTTTTTGAAAAACACATTTTTACAATGATGAATTAGTTAGGAGTTTTAGTACTAACAAAGTCTGATAATTGTTTGTTTGATATGTGCTATTTCTTGTATATGTATAATATATATTAGAGTGGTCCTTAATATGGATATTTTCGAATTTTCTTGCTCCCAGGGGCTCAATTGCTTCCAAATTAATAAAAAATTCTCTATAAGTTTTAGCTCTTAATATTGTCTTTTAGATAGTGCGCAATTCAATCATGGAAATAGCATGGAAAATTTTTCGATATAAAGTTTTTTAGATATAACTTAGCAATACTTGCAATACAATATTGCTCTACGAAACAAATTATAAAAAACCTGTTTTGCAGAGCGTCGAATTTTTAATAAAAGATAACACGAATATTCACTTTTAATTCATTCGTCACTAAGTAGTACCTAAATAACATTTTTAAAAATTTTGAAAATTTTTCCCATCTATTTTCATACGAAGCTTTGATTGAATTGCACACTATCTAAAAATTAATATTAAGAGCTAAAACTTATAAAGAATTTTTTTGTATCAATTTTGAAGCATTTAAGCTCCTGGGAGCAATAAAGTTCAACATTTTCCATATTAAGGACCACCCTATATATATGTATATGTATATATATATACATATATATATATATATATATATATATATATATATATATAATATCTTATTTAATATTCCCAAATCACCGTTGTATCATTTGTTATCAAGAGACATCATCGCTCATTTTTGTGTCGTAATAATATCTGTCTTTTATAATATGTCGATAATATATTATTCAGGAGTAGAAAAAATAGAAAAAATCGAAAAAAAATTGTGTGTTCGGTATTAAATAATGACTCTATAATCATTACGGATCTTGATGAAAAATCACCCTGAAAAATAAACGACGGGGTATCAATTATTTGTTGTGGTTTTAGTTGAAGATTACTGAATTTGTTTTGAAGATATTTAGATGAGAAGCTAATTCTCGGATAAAATAAAAATGTTATAGTAATATGTTACTATATGTAGTACATGTTACGGGTCTTATGATTTTTGAGAGTTCGTTATCATCAACTCATACGAACATAGATTCGTAACATAGTATTACTGTAAGATCTTTATTATATCTAATAATTGGCTCTGATAAATGAGTGTCATTGTCCAGCAATTAGTCAAACAGGTGTATCTCCATAAAAAATTAAAATTTTAAAAATTCTTTCGTACAGTTGTTCTTGAATAATTTTGCTTCGAAAATATGAAAAAAAACGATTTCTTTGATATCATCTTTTCATTTCCATGTAACTTATGTTTGCCTCTATTCTTCAGGGCAATGAATCATTGTCTACTAGTCCCTTGTAAATATTTTTACGTAATGTTCACTCACGTGTCCATAATAATAATTATATGTTGATGTCACCAAAGTTGACTTATTATGGTAAGCGGCGGCACGCGGCCCCCTTGTTATTAATTATTAAAGAGCTCGTAAGGGCGGCAGGGCCAACCTGTGTTTTGTGTCCGGGATTGATGATGCACATGTTGATTCCCTTGGAGGGAAAATTTACTACCGGAATATATATATATATATATATATATATATATATATATATATACATATATATCTGCCCCAACTGTGCAAGAAATTCGGACTTCTCGTTAAAGATAAAAAGTAGAGCATGAAATTTTTTAATTCATATATTTTTTGTGCTAAGACCACATTATTTTAATACAACCTATAAAAACCCTATACTCGTTTTCGTAATTCTTCTACAAATTTACCTAGCATTCTCCTAACAGCATTCTAATTGCATTATAAGGTTGTCAAATATCTCCCTTCCGCCTTTTTGTATCATAAACCAAGAGCAAAAAAGCGGAAGGGAGATATTTGACAACCTAATATGAATCGCAACGAATAAGAAGATAAAAAGAAGACTCTACTTAGCATCCATTTTGTCTTCATCAAAATCGCTTAGAATTATCTCAGAATAAATTTAATATTTCAAAGGCATTGTCATAATATATTTGATATTTTCCCTGAAAAATTTGATTCCTAATTATGCCACTGTTTAATCTTTTTATAAAAATTCGTCCCAACAGTTTCTCCAACCTTTACTTCTTTAATACATAATTCAGACCCTTATTTGAATATTCTGCGACCCAAAACTTTTTGAAAACCGTGCAGAATTGAGTTTATTTAAAAATCGAAACCCTCGAACAAGAAAAAAAACTAAGAGTCATCAAACTGTCATTCAATATCGATAATGTATGTGAAATGGAAATACAGCGGTTATCGACACTTTTACAAAGAAGTTACAAAAGGGTGAAAATTGGGGATTTTGGAAAATGGATCGGTTTTGATATTAAAAATAGTATTTGCATTTGCTTTCATTCTAGATTTCATAAAAATAGAAATTAATTAACGGTGTATGGCATCGTGCCTTAAGGCAAATTGCTTTATTTTAAATGTTTTCAAATATATTATTATTACAAATACTGTAACTTTCATTATTTTTGTCATTTTGTTTGTTATATCTGAGCAAATCAAATGTAAATCATAAAACAATTTATCCCCAGAACATTACAATCATCATTTCATTTCGAATTCAATTTCAAAAAAATTTGAAAGTTGCCTAATTTACACAAAATTGAAAAAGTGCTTCCGTATAGTCACAGTCTAAACGCATTCGCAAATAATTCTGTGCGACATTTTCACTTAGACTGTGCTTTGCTCGCCGGCATTTTCCCATTTTTCAATAGTTTTCACAAAATTGGAAAAGTGCACCAGTACATAAACAGTCTAATCGCACTTGGGTAGACATTTGCACCAGAGTGGTTCTTAGACTGTGTTTAGCCTGGGTCATTTTTTCAATCTTTAATCCAAAATTATAAAAATATTTTTTGAAAAAAAAAATTAGAAACAAATTTTTTTTTCCAAAAGCAATTATTTTGTTGAAACAAGCAGAAAGTTTTTTAGATCATTCAAATCGGACGCTTAGTTCACTCAAAAACTGCCATTTTTTGCACATTTAGCTCTGTATCTCCGAAACTGCTGAACCTGCCTTTGCCAAAAACTGATCACCTCTTCTCCCAATCATTACAAAACGAATGTTTCTTAGATCATACAAGTCGGATGATCCGTTCTCTCAGAAACTCGATTTCTATTTTCTGCACTATTTGCTCCGTATCTCCGTAACGGCTGGACCTGCCTTTGCCAAAAACTAATCAGCACATCTCCCTATTAATAGGAATCGAATGTTTTTGATCCATTTTTTCTGAGGTATGCCCCTTAAAAATGTTCAGAAACCTTCAAAACGTCGAGAAATGCAAAAATTTTCATTTTCGATTTTCGGCCCATTACTATAACTACCCTACGGGAAGTTGAAAAATAATTCAAAAGTATATAATTGAATGAAATAATTTAAGACGCAAATTCTCGGATAAAATAGATATGTTATGTTAAAGCTAAATTATGAGTCTATAGTCGTATGAGTTGGTAGTAACAAACTAACCAAAATTATCAATTTGCTGTGCGATCAAGGGTTTTACACACCTAAATTCATTTATGTGTTATGAATGAGACATC